CCTGCCCTCGCTCCGTCGCTATCTGCCCCGGACACTTGATTGTTCCTGAACTGCTGTTGACCCCATAAAGGGGAACCCGTGCCTGGTTTTCCTGCCGTGGTTCGTTTGTGATCTGGAGGCTCTTATTGCTCCATCTTCTTCCTCTTGTAACAGCTACAGTTCATGATTCCTCTGCGGTGAGAGAGAGAGAGAGAAAAAAACGGGTAGAAGAAGAAAAAAAGAGAAAGCCAGCTCCTCAACGTGGTGCTTCCAGGCTTACATGTAAATTAAAACGCAATTAAAAACAGGCAAATAAGCTGTTCCCTGGAGATGGGGAAAAGGGAGAAGGGAGGGGTGGAGGAGGAAAGCGAGGAAAGGGCTCTCAGGATAAGGGCCTGTGTCACTCATCATTAGCATGGCATTAGACTGGAGGGAGCTAAATCTGAACACTGGGTCACGGGCACATTTAGAGGAGCTGCCACTGTGAGGTCTCCACGCCGATGGAAACAACCACAACATCGCGTCCGGGAGGGAACCGTTTCTGCCTCAGATCAGACAAAAAAATCCACACAATTATTCAGTGGATTATTCGGCTATTGTTCTGTGAAGCGTGCTATTGTGTGCTTCGTGAACAAGCTCACTATTGTGTTGCCGCAGAGCATCTATCACTGGGAGAAAACACAGAAACGCTGCTTCCCTTCCTGCTCAACACTCCACCGAGAAGTCGTGCATTTGGCCACAATCTGCCAGAATTCCACTGCAGCACCTCCTTCCTCCTCTTCCTCCTCGTCCGCCTCGTCCTCCTCCTCCGGCCTCGGCCCTCACCCCTTCACCGCCCCCCTGGAAGCCTGGTGCTCCCCCTTCCTGCTGCCTCTCTCCCAGGCTCGCTGCACCCCCACCTCCTGCTCAGGCTCCTGGGTGGAAGGGGATCAATGGGGGAAGCGTATGGTGGAGGAGGTGGGGGCGAACCCCACACGACGGCAGCCTTGCAGGCAGGCGGGCAGCGGCGAGGGGAGGGAGGCTGGTCGTGGATGTCGGCCCACCCTGGCAGAGGAGCACCCCTCTCTGCAGACCTGTCGCCTCGGTGCAACAATGACCGTGACAATGACACTGGAGGAGGAATTTCCGCTGCCCCCACCCTCCTCCACCACACACACTTCCCCGCCCGCATTAAAATCTGCAAGATGAATGACTTCCTAATAGCTTTCATTTGTTACAATTATCATAATTAAACATATGTCAGGAGCAGACAAAGGAAAGGCGAGATTTCTGTGTTAGCACCTGAAGCAGGAGGGGAGTCCAGCTTTGGTAACAGCATAATTAGCCTGGTATACGGAGCCATGTTTACAGGAGCTAATTAAAGAGTTTCCATAATCTGTTTGCAGCCACAGAGTGGACCTTGATTCTTCTGGATGTTCTGATTCCTGTTCCCTCTGCTGCATCAGTCTGTTTGATAGCGCAGCTTAATGACCGCCCGCTGAGCGCCGTGAGAATGGCTGAAGGCCCTCTTAACATTTTTGCGATGCCCCCTCTCTTCCTCCTCCTCCTCCTCCTCCCCACCCCATCCTTGTATTCTGCCCCTAAAACCAATCACCTCCTGCCTTCCTCGTCGCTTTGGAGGAATGAATCAGAAGCTTGGCTCCAAGTCTTCGCTCCCGTCTCCACTTTGCCTCCATATCATCCATCTTTTCCTCTTTCCATCATACCTTTTTTTTTCTTTTCCTGGTCCTCGGTCACACTTTCCCATCCACCTCCTTCCCCTTCATCTCTCCCTTCCCTCACTTGGCACTCCGAGGCTCGTGGGTGCCAAGGAGCTGGAGGCCTCCAGGCTTCCCCACAGCCACCATTTTGTGGACTTGCTCCAGCTGTGTGCATGAAAGACGGAATGATGAAAGAAATCGGTGTTGCAATGGAAGAAAGGTCACAAGGCTGCAGCTCTGTATGTTTCCTGCTGAGGCCGGACCATAGATCATGACTGAAGCTGACCCCGGCCCTCCTGCACAACCACACACATAAATATCCTCCACAAACACTCTGCCTCACTCCTCCTGTTTTTTCTTTGTAGATGTCACACACAGCTCTGTCTGACTATAAAAGACAGTTTTAGTGTTAACATTTCCTGTTTCTTCTTCTTCTTCTTTTTTTTTTTTAATTCCTAAAAATGTAATTTTTTTCCCGCCATTGTGTAATTATTTAAACCGTTTGCAAAAGACAACAGTCTTGCTGCTGAAATCAAATGACAACACAGGCTGTTTGGAAAGAGTCCCTTGAAGCAGGAGATAAAAAACAGCCCGACTGACCCTGAGTTTATCCTCATGTTTCAGATAACAGCTCGTTTGACCTTGACGGGTCGCAGCAAGGACAAAACAAACGTGGAAAAGTTTCTACGAACTCACTCACGCTGCTGTAAAAAATAGCAAGTCCACAAATTCCAGAAATTACGACGACTGAGAGACATATGGACAGAATTCCAAAGCTGCCTCCATATCTGCCTTTCATTAAGGAGTATTTTCACATCGCAAATAACGACATTAAATTGGAAGAAACTCAACAGAAATGTATCTGTTCTGTTACATCTCACATTTTTTCTCTTTTTTTCTGTTTCTCACCCAAATCAACGACTGATACCGATCAATTCTGATCAGCTCATTTCATTTTTGTCTGTCTTTTGACTGGATCTTTGACACGTTCTGGTGATCGAAACTGTCCGCAAAACCAGGTCGACTCTCACTCAGCGCAAAAAGTCCCAGAGAGACAAGTGCAGCAGGACACGAGCTCACCTGAGCGCATTCCTGAGAGGGCAGCCGCAGCGGGAAGCGACGGCGCTGGAAAAATCCTCATCAGGAGGAATTTAGTGCTTCAGATGATTTGATGTGGATATGATGAGTTCCAGAGGCGATCAGCTCGGTGCTTCTGGCCAATATGGATCCCCTCACTACTGAGGAATACACATGGCTGCTCAGAAAACCCATTTAAGTCAGACTGAAAATATATTTTAAAGGACAAACGAATGACTTGTAAATCCTCAGAACTCTCAATCTGTGAATGTAAATTAATAAAAGTCCGTCATGCATGTTGGCGACGACTCTGTTCTACTTTGTCTGATTTTTGAATCCCGCTGAGCTATAAGTCTATTGATTACTGAAGTACTGTCAAATATGTCCAAGTTCTATTACGCAGCGCTGCGACCAGATCACACGCTGAGTCAGAGGATTTTCTAAATGATCATCTCTGTTCTGACGCAGGCTTCGGGCGTCTTTTCGTCAGTACAAACACTTAATGATACATAATTTGTATTTTGGGTACCTGGTGAGTAAACAGAGCCGACAGTGAGAAGCCACGGCTCCAAAATTTGCTCTGTATTGCTGTCAGACTTCAGTGCTTTTGCATTTCGATGCGGAAAGATATTCTGATTGACAAAATAATGTTCGAGGGAACGACAGCTTCATCGGGGCCATTTTATAAAGAGCTCGTTTGTTTTTCACAAACTTAAATTCTCTCTCTGTGTATTCCTCTCTGCCTCTCTCTCTCCTTTCATGCTGTTGCTAGGGAAGCAGGGCGTATACGCTGCCTGGCCGCGGATGAAGGGCACCAGAAAAAACGGGAATTGTGCGTAAATACGACGCACTAATCGAGCATGTTTGTAACACACGGGGTCTTAACCCTCTCCTGCACCTATTTCAGGGCGCAAACCCGGGAATTAAGGGGTGCAAAGTGCCATATTTCGGTGCTTTTTGTCCATTACCTTATATGGCAGGGCAGAGATATATCGTGCCTGTATTTAATAGGCTGGCCGCTGCCGCTCTGCTCGCAGGCTTCACTTTAACCCTTGTGCTGCTGAATTATTCTTGGAGCACGAAAAGCATCGGGTTTCGCACGTTTAATTCTTTTTAGACCCCACAAGTGCGTTACAAACAAACGAATTGCACCGTTTTGGTGGCAATCGTGTGCACAGATCACAGTTTACGCACAGAAACCAGTATTTTACGCACGGAGGCGCGTTTTGGCTCATGTTTCTAATTGAGCTCCTATAAATCAGTTGGCTTCGTGTGGATGACATTTACAGCACAGAATACATGCTCACTGGTGATGTGGTTTGTGCTGCTGGATTTAAATTGTCCTGATGTACATGGACGTGTTACAGCTAATATTTCAGCCGGTTATGGTGATGGATTTAGGGGGAGACACGCTGAGCGCTCTTGGCAGCGAACGAGTTCCATTAGAAAGTTGCCACAGGTAGGCTGAAGGCTGCACAGCAACCCTCTGCTGTGTGTCAAATTAACGGCGGTTGAGCCCAGAGGACATGGCACTGGTTTGACTGTGAGAGAGTGTGTGACCTATATTTGCAGAGCGCTGTTAGCAGATCGAAGTGGAAACCTCCCGTCTGCACATCCACAGCTGTGCTGCTTTGGAGGAATCGGAAATAAAAAGGGAAGTTTTTTCATCAGCGTCAGCTTCAGTTAGAGTGATGACAGAGTCTTTGGTGACACTGTGCTGCTACTTTCGAACCTCAGAGACCCTCTTTGTTAATGCAGGTCACCTGGTACAACTGTTTTTAGCTGCTGTGGGCACAGCAGAGGGAAAAACTATGAAGTAGTGCAGCATTAAAAATTCTGCAACAGACTTCCTTATTGACATATTCAGCTGTGTTCATTTTAGTACAACTATAGCATGTATGTAAATGCATTTGGTGTCATTCACACTTGCGCATGATAAAAGTCACTCAAAGTTGTTTTTTCCCCAATAGCAGGAGGCTCCATCAGCTGTTGGAGGGAGTCCTCAGCCTTTATTACCGAACAAGACAGTAGATCTGCATAAGTGGATTTTACGCACAGGACCTTTGACAGGAACGTAGTGACAAATTTGAATTTCCAGATATCCCTCCCGCAGTCCAGTTCGCTCTGGATAAAACCCCAACCTTTCTGCAAGGTCTCCACCTCCCCCTCCCCTCCTGACGTCATGCACCGAGCTGAAGCTATTGCACGAAAAGAGCTGCTCGCCGCCGCACCACTGTGAATATCTCTGCGCTCTCTGCCAGGACTGTGGAGTGTGCAAAGACGAGAGAGAGAGGGAGCGAGAGGAGAGGTGGAGGGAATACGGTTGGATTTGGATACAACTGGAAAACTACCAAGCGCGCACAGCACGCACCGAGCGGAAGGCAAATCGACGGTGCGTAGCCAACATTTCACCTACTCCCCGTCCCCCTGCGATCGGATTCAGCCGAGAATGGAGCTCCCTGCCGCCGGAGAGCACGTCTTTGCGGTGGAGGGCATCGAAAAGAAGCGCATTCGGAAGGTAACAGAGAGGAGGCACATTTGGCACAAAAGCGGGCGCTGAAATATTTGCGCGTTATTATGAGCTTCATCAAAAAATGTTCTCCTTCTCCACCATCACAGGGCAAGATAGAGTACCTGGTCAAGTGGCGAGGCTGGTCTCCCAAGTAAGTCCCAATGCAAGCTTTTCTAAAATACCCCCAACAGCCTGTCAGTGCAGCGATACGTGCAGCATTATGCAACAAATCAAGTGTTGTTACTTTAAAAAAATGCAATCCATCAAGGGCGTGCGCGCTCAGACTGTGGTTGCTTGTGCGAGTGTGTGTGTGTGTGTGTGTGTGTGTGAGCTGGAGAGCGCGGTCGGTATGTGTTTCAGTGTATCCGCGGATGCCTTCACTAATTTATGCGAGGGAAGGGGGTAGGCACAGCCATGTAATCCCGTTTTAATTATTTCTGCTCTGCCAGCGAATTTACGAGACAGTGGTGCTAAAATGGCCGACTGTATGTTGGTGCTGGAGCAGCGTTTTGGAGGCACATACAGACACTTTTTGTTTGACATTTCCCCCCTCTGCAGTTGGATGTCCGCACAGTTGGTGCAGCTGGAGCGGGAATGTGGCTGAAATGGTTGCTGTTTGCAGTCTTGCAAAATTCAGTTAGAAATCCTCCAGAATCTGTTATTTAGGCATCAGCCTGGAGGTGTGCCTCACCTGTCCGTGCTGCTGAGGGGGGATGTGTGTGAGGCTGAGGCCTGTGACTCAGTTTGGAGAAGAGAGGGAAAAAGGAAGTTTGCACGTGATTCCTCTCTGACAGTTGTTTTTGTCTGTGCAGATACAACACATGGGAGCCAGAGGAAAACATCCTTGACCCGCGTCTCCTGGTCGCGTTTCAACACAGGTGAGAGAGACGTGGACTTCGGACGAGGCCGCGCAGCCTCCAGTTCAGCCGTGACCATATATGGGCATGGGGGGAGGAGCGCGCCAGTAACTCTATCACTGACCCCCCTCCTCCCCCCCCTCCCCCTCGGGACTGTGTCCTGCGGGAGAGGCCGCTGATACGGTGGAGAGAGTTCCTAAATCATGGAGAGATGGATGGATGGATTTATTTTGCAGGTTTGCTTCAGGAACCAAATGCATCATGCACAAAGAGAGCTGACTTTTGTTTTTTTTTTTAACACCAGAAAGTGCATGAGGTCAAAAACTGAAAAGCCGTCTCTTCTCCATGTGGATCAACTTGCAATTATTTTGCAGGTTAATTTGCAGTGCAAGCATGAGGCAGGATTATAGGCGGTAATTTAGGAGATGAGCTGCACAGAGGCTCGCTGATGTGCAGTTTGTTGTGGTTTTAATGCGAGGAGCTGAAGCTGCCTGGAGGGATTCTCGCCACCATCAACCTGCTAACAGGCTGAGCTGTAATCTGCTGTTGCAGGCTGAAGAGAAGAACCATTCGGTGACACCAGTTGGACACATCACATGCAATTACCTCTATTTTGCTATTTAATGTTGTGGAAACCACATCCCAACTCGGATGCTTAAATTGACTGCCTGTTTTCAGTTGAGGGTCAAGATGGAGGCCTGTGAAGCAATTAGAAATGCATGAATGTCAGTCTCAGAGGTTGAGATGTTAATTTAAGTGCTACTGTCATTTTGGCTCTATGGCGCGTGCACAACTGCGTCTTGACTGGGTTGTTGGACCCATGAGGCCTGTGAGATAAACCGTGCAGGGCCAGCAGGCCGCTCATGAGGCTGGGTAAAGACATGATGGCTGAGGAAAGGAATTCGCTTTTCTGAAAAGGCTAATTGACACGCAGTGCTCTTCAACGTTTCCAGTGTACCGCTCTCATATTCCCCCGCAGCCTGCCTGCCTGCCTGCCCTGCTGCTGGCTGTGAGTGTGTGTGTGTGTGTGTGTGTGTGGCTCTGTGCTGATGGTCATGGAGTGCTGCCTCTGCACTGTGTGTGTGGATTCCTCTCTGCTCCCAGTGGATGGGGGAGGGGATTCGACAAGGGAGTCTGTAATTGCCAAATCTTCTGTGAATAGGGGTCACCCCGTTAGATTTGAAAATCGTGCACATTACAGTCGACTGTTTATCGCTGCGCCTCTTGATAGTTTCAACATCTGTAGCAGGAGGCGGGGTCCAGGCATGCCCGGCCTTCACCCACCGCTGCTTATTTATGAACCAATGATGAGTCAAGGTTTATCTCAGGGAGCAATATTTCACCAGAGCTCAGTATCGTCAGTACAACTACAACAACACGGTTCATTCTCCTCCCTCACTCAGAGGTGTTTGTTATTAGTGCTCATCACCATGCAGTTCTGAGGTGTAGGCGCCACGATGCACAAGGCCAAGCAGTGTGTAGGTTTTCACCATCACTGCGCACTCCACTATGTAGTATTTATCCCAGTCCACTCATGACCCTAATTAGAGATTGACTGTAAGAAGAGGAAGGGTGTGCTGCAGGAGGGAGGATGTTTGAAAGACAAGGAGAGACTCTCCCTGCTGTAGCCTTAATTGAATTTCTCCAGGATAATGAGAATATGGAATGGGCCGATTACCATGGAGAGCTATGCAAATAAGGACCATAATGCTTTGCAGCAGGTCACATGTGGGCATTCATTAGTGTTCCGAATCAAAATCCCACTTTTGACCTTGAATAGGTAGAAGAAAATGAACGACCACTCCAAATGTCACACCTGTAATTGTCCGTGATATAATGAGATTTTTTAATGTGCTGTTGTACGCAGCAGGTAAAAGAGAATTAATGTACTGAAATGTAATCGTCTTGTTTTCACAGAGAGAGGCAGGAGCAGCTGATGGGATATCGTAAACGAGGGCCGAAACCAAAGCATCTTTTGCTGCAGGTAATTGTCTGTGAATCGTCAGCAGTGATAGTTTCTGCTGAACCGTCCTGCTGTTTCCAAACCTTCATTCTGTGTGAGGCCTGAACAGCGGGAGGTTCTGCTGTCAGGTGTGTTGGAGCTGCTGCCATTGTGGTCATGGTTATTTATAGATTTCTTTGAGAGCGATGGGGCACAGAGAGGACAGGCCTCTACAGCTGGATCTCTCTCCACACTCATCCTGAAACCGTGTTTGTTGCCTGAGGTTACATAAGCGTTGCTTGAGTGCACTGCATCTTCATTACTTCTGTATGCTAAACAGCTTCATGTGCTGAACACAGAGGTTCTGCTAATGTTGGGTGTGTTCCCTCTGCACCACGTGAATCTGTACCAGGAGAATATTTTCTTTCACTTCCCTATTTGTAAATGTTTCCGCAAGACCAAAATAAATGGGTGAAAGCAGCTCTGCCCTGCTTTGACTATCTCAGCTCAGGCATTTACAGGAGCCAAATGTGATTATATATTTTGAGAGACTCTGAGCTGATTGCTATGCAGTGTCACTCCTTAAGAGGCATACCACTGCCAGAGTCACACGTGGCCAGCGATCAGGGATAAAGCGTGACATGTCTGGTGGCACTCCGCTGACCCGAGGTCATAGCCGAAGCGTCTTGAGCGTTCCGCTGCAGTGCCCCTCTGACGGCGGCGGCGGGGTCAGCCTGTACAGGAGGAGGGGGAGGGGACGAGGCGGTGGGAGGGAGCTTATAGACCGAGTCCTGATTGGATAGTTTATTTAGATTTCTGATAGGCTTAAGCATTCTGCAGTCTTCAACTATCAGTGATGCAGCAGCAAATGTGAGTCAGTTCTCTGACTGGAAAAAAACAGTTGAACAAATGTCCCCGGTGCTGCTGGAGGAGCTTCATCAAGTCTGAGCTCATCACCCCGGTGACGCCACAGCGGTGTCATCAGGGGGGTTCTCAGCATCTATAACGACAAATCAGGGGTGTGGAGTTTATCTCCTTTGTGCAACACTAAATCAAGACACTCTTCGTTTTCTCCAGAGTTCTTCATTTTGTCGCCGTGTTCTAGAGCCCACTTTAAGCTTCGACGACATGCTAACCTTGTGTCTCCTCTTTAAGGTTCCCTCATTTGCCCGACGATCCAGCATTCCTGCGGGTTTTGACGAAACATCTCCGGATGCAGAAAGCAGCCCCAAGTCTGATCCCATCCAGGTCCAGCGCTCCCAGCCCCAACAGTACCAGCTGAACAGCAAGAAGCACCACCAGTACCAGCCCAGCAGCCAGGAGGTCCCTGCTGACCAGCTCGCCAACAGCAAGAAGAAGTTCATCTACCAGCTAAACAGCAAGAAGCACCACCACTACGAGCCTGACCCAAACATGTACGACGCACAGGCTTCCCGGCTCAAAGAGGTGGTCAAAGTTCAGGAAGCTGTCAGTAAACCAGCAAATCCTGGCTGGAACTTACCTCTGGCCCTGCAGCAGAAATGGGTCCGGGACAAAGACACAGGCTGCCTGAGCAAAGTCAAAGAGCTGGCAGTGGAAGTGAGGAAACCGGCTGTGAAGGAGGCAGAGAGCGAACACGCCCTCAAACCTAATCCTAAAGACGCAACCCTGCCAAGTGCTATTAGCAGCAAAATGAAGATAATCAAGAATAAAAACAAGAACGGGCGCATTGTTATTGTCATGAGCAAATACATGGACAGTAACAAGGTTCACGGAGCAAAGGGTAAACACGGGGAGTCATCAAGAGAGGACAAACCCCAGAACACCAAACCATTGGAGAACAATCCAGCGCACAGAACCAAAATGGCGGAGCACCCAGAGAACGGCATCCCCAAAGAGATCTGCAGCGGCAGTTCCCTCGCTGCCGCAGAGCATCCCACAAAGTGTTCCCCGAAGGACAGACAATTCTCCAAACCTTCCCCAAGCACTGCCGAGGAATACAACACCGAAGTGGCTCGCGGTCAGGCGGACTTACCGGATGATTTGCCCCTACAGCTGACCGCCAGCTCTCCCCCAACGTCCTGGACCATTGACACCAACATCCTGACCCCGACAGCCGTCGACCAGATCAGGATTCCTTCTTTCCCCGGCGACCGAAAGAGAAAACTCTCAGATCCTGTGGAGGACCGGAGTGTCGCCAAAATCTACCTGGCTTCGAGGAGCTTCAGCGTGCCGAGCACTGCGGTGACGCCGCCTCAGGACAAACCCATGGACCTCCACTGTAGCGGGTCTCGCCACAGCAGTATATGTACATATGAGGCTCTGGGCAGCCAGGAGGAGCCGATGGACCTGAGCTGCCCAAAATCAAAGAAGCAGGTTGAAGCAGAAACTCAGCTGGAGCCTGAGCCTGAGCCTGAACGTGAACTTGAGCGTGAACCTGAACCTGAACCTGAACCTGAGCCTGAGCCTGAGCCTGAGCCTGAGCCTGAGCCTGAGCTAGCTGTCAAAGACACACCTCCTGTGACGGAGGACACACAAACATCCACAGAGAAACCTGCAGCTGTTAAAAAAGTCTCTCCGTTTATGGGAAATATCATCATCACTGACATCACAACAAACAGTCTCACCGTCACATTCAAGGAATACGTTTCTTTCTAAGAAACTGCTTATAAAATGGGACCGAGTGGACGATCCTGTTAATATGTGCATATGTAAAAAAAACAAAACAAAAAAAACAACAAAACATCAGAATTTTGTATATATGGAAATTTATAATTTATCATTCAAATTCAATATGTTTCTTATAATGTTTTATACTGTAACTCCTCTGTGATGTTGTAGCCAAGAAAGTGCCCTCGAGGATTTGAGTGAATGCATTCAGGTGGAAGTTTTCCACTAAAAAAAAGAAATCAGTTATTTGTCATATGGAGCTTAATGCTGTTGTTTCATACCTGTACCAAACGTATAACCTGAGATGTATGAAGGTTTATACATATTTTGTATTAATAATATCACTTATTTTGGTCCTGATAGAAGGTAGAGAGGAATTTGTCGAGTATATGGTGATCAAAGATCCAATTGAAAGCACTTAATTACATTTTCATACGTTTGCTTGTGTCATTACTAGTGGAGAAACAGCGAGTCTTATTTCACTGATTCTTTTAATATATATATATATCTATATATGGACAGGTACCCTCAGACTGGATTGGCATATTTAGTTATGTGTTTTGTTTGTGGCTTGTTTAAGATAAATGATTAGCCATGGCATGCAAATTTAGAAAGCAGGTGCGTCTGAACACCGTGTAAACAACCGCGGGACGCTCGACCGTGTCAGCAACCTCAAAGCAACGTCTGAGGCTCTTGTTTTGTCACGTTGTCGTCTCATCGATGAGATATTGCACATTTTGGGGATAAAATACGACACGTACACTCTCAAAGGCCAGTTACCATTAGGAAAATGGTGTCATTTATCACTGAACATCCCCCGTTAAGATGATGTATTGACTTCTACCATAATTAGGTTGTGATTTATTACCATGCTGTTGACCTCACATACTGCTGGAGTTACTTTAAAGTACCTGCTACCGTCTCGTTAGGAGACACAGATTTACAATATTCATCTCATTTCGCTGTTGAAGCTCATTCTATACGATGTGAAGAACACACATGAGCACTATTTGTTTTAGAAGAAAGCTGCCAGGGTCATTGATGAGTATGTCATAGAGATTAAATGTGAGTTGTGAGGCTTACTTTGTATACTGTTACATGCAATCCAATGGGTGCGAGATGTTTCGATTATGCTGCTGAGAATTCAAATATCAAAGCTGTTGGATGTAACCTACATTTGAGTCTAAATGGCCTTCTACGCACATTTAATGCAAAACCAGTGAGAATGCTAAAATGCTATAGTAATAACAAATGAAGAGTGCATATTTATTGACGTCTAAGATGTTGTTCGATACCAGTTACAAGATGTTTGCTGCATCCAAAGCTGCAAGTGATTCCATTGAACAGTTTCACCTTAAATGAGTCTGTTTGCTTCTCTAAAAAAAAGAGTTTTCTTCCTTTTGCTTTGTTTTGCTCACTCTTCCTTGCACTCGGTTCAAAATGATTGTTATAAAGTATGTTATACCAGGAGCTGGCTGACGTGTTGTTGTTGGCACAGCTCATTGGATGGTATGTTTCACAATAAAGAAAGAGATTTGACCTCTGTGACTTGTTGAACTGATGTTTGCTCACTGGGGGAATATGTTTACAACTTTTCTAGATTTTATGGGCTGACTTTTGGTAGTTTTCTTCAGCGTTTCGGTGAAAGATTCACATGTGATCACTGTCTCCCTCTGAAGCCTCGTTGCTCGTGCAGGGAAAGAACGGAACATTAAACACGAGAAACACTAACTTGGTTGTGAACCATGAATAGCAAAACAGATCACGTTGCATAATCACAAACGGTCCTGCACAAAGGGCCCTCTGTATTGCGTAACTGCACTGGTCACTTGTATTATTAAAACCTTAGCCATGCATTATTTTTCTATTGCAGCTTGACCCCGAGCAGGAATGTAAACACACAACATGAGTGGAGGAGGGCAGCGGAGGCGATTGTGTAATTCGTAGGTTCTATGGAGAAGAAAAGGCTTCATGGAGGGTCACTTTGTGGCTTATTAAAGTGTGCAAGTCCTGCACAATGCAGCAGGGAAGGGTGTGAATAATACGACATTTAAACACAATGTGTCGGCGAGGAGGCTTCTTGGCGTTTCCACAACGTTGGCTGAGCTGCTCCAAATGACTGTGTTTAGTTCAGAAGGCCTGTGTCACAATGACACAGCAATTCTCCCTACATTATCATCACACAGTAAAATCTAAAAAGACGAGTCCAGAGTTGCATAAAGCTGCATATTTGTGCACGGCTCAACTTTTATGAATGAACTTTATAAACACTGACCTTTCCCGCCACCGCCGGAGGTTGTGGGCCTCTTCCAGTCTTTGTGTAGATGATTTAAGGCCTGCAGCCTGGACTCTGATCTGAAAGCACGGGCAGATACAGGTTTTCTGTTATGCTGTGAGCTCAGAGGGATTGAAAGATTAACTGTTGCATGTTCTAGAGGATGGAAAGGCCGTGAAATGGGTGTGAGATTTTCCAACTGAGGCCAAAGATCTGACAAACCTCAGCTGTCTGGAAAAGCACTATGAGTTAATGAAGGACTGATGTGGTATTTCTGTCACTTAAATAATGAAATAATGAATGTCCTCTTCCTGCACAGCTCAGTTAAAGAAGGATTCTTCTGTTTTCAAGCAAATGCATCCTGCAGAGTTCGTTTCTTTTGCATTTTTTTTGGTTTGGAGGCGCATGAAATCAAGGCTGAACACAAAGAAAATTATTCTTAATCATTAAGAACAGCAGGCGGGACAGTGAAGGCACCACGGACAGCACCTTCACAGGATCTGTTATCTGCGTGGATCTCGTGTGTCAGCAGCTCGGCCACAGTTTCACAAGAACTCCAGTTCAGTTCGACCACTGTGGAAATGTTTCACTCACTTTTCTGTCCTTCTCTGGGACTTTGTGTTGGAAATGTTTGCTCACGTCGCGCTGAAACTGGAGAATTTTTGAAATCCAAAAGCTGACAGCGGCTCTTGAATTTATAATTTACGCACAAGGAACGTATTTTGGCAACGTGAGCTGCAAAACTACGACCAATCGATGAATCCCAACATGAAGCTTCTAAAACTGGCAGCCAGAGGAGCGCCGTCACGTGGAGCCTTATCTGAGAGGATATCAGCTGATGTATGAATTTCATATGAACACACAGCTCGCACGTCTCCTTATCTCTCCGTCTCCGCGGGCCTTCCGCGGCTGTGAACCAGCTATGAGTCAGTCATGCATTAGCAGCTATAGGAAACTGAAACATGTTGAGGGGTGGAACATATTTATAGACCAAGTGTGATGTTTCACATTCCCCCTTTATCATCGAGCCCCGCAGCAGCAGCAGCAGCCTGCACACGGTCGGCTTCATCTCCTGCAGGATCCTTTCTCTCATTTAGAGCTCCGTGTGTGACCCGCTGCAGGCCGGTGGCGCCTCAGAACTCACAGAATTATTCAGAGATAAAATCGGAAGATATCACCTTCACTCCAGACTTTAGAATTAGTTCTGGGGTTTCTTTCAAAATACACAAAAGTAGAAATAGCCTGGAGGACGTCTGCCTCAGAATCCTGATCAACACAAATAGCTGTGAGCTGCAGAGCGAGGAGCTGCTGCGGTGGGCCGCGCTCAGGATGCTGCTGTCTAATTCTAAACATGCGCTCTCATATGGCAGCGCTGCAGGTCGGAGCCACGAGGCTTCACACCTCCTGCCTGTGGTTTCACTGTGAGCCACCTTGAGCAGAAAATGTCGCCGGTAAGTAGGACAGTGAACAGCGAGCTGAGCGCAGCAGTTGCCCAGAAACCAGAGAGCCAATAATGTTTCTCACAGAGCCAGCTCTGTTTATTCATGTTCTCCTGTCGCCATTGCGGCTCCTGCAGACTCACTTCTCATCGACTCGCAGCCAAATATGGAGAAGCAGCAGCAGCAGCAGCAGCAGCAGCAGCAGCCTGCCTCCGCTCAGCGCGCACCAGTCCGCTCTGTGTCTGCACTCAAACCGTGCGGGCTAAAGCCATTCTAGTACCGACAGGAAATGTCGGTCTACAGCTATGACTATCAAAATGGTGGTTCATATTTCGACGGCAGCCACAACGCATCTTTTGTCCGCGGCGCGCCCGCCTTTGTCTGCTCCACTGCGGGGAAAATTTAAACAGACAGAAAGCTGCAAATACATCAACCGATCATTGGTCGTCTTTAACGTGATCGGGAAAAAAGCCGCACGATTCGCTGCTGCGCCTCTCCACAGAGCTCAGACCGCCCCTCATGGGCTCAGGCTGCCTTTAAATTTAATATATGTGCAATTTGATCCCACGTCTAATTAACCTCACAGGTGATTACAGTTAATTAAAATGCACGCGGGGTGCGTGTAGCTGCGCAAATGTCTCCAAGTGGTGCGTTCTGGGTTTATTCAACAGAATGGAGCCACAGAGCGATCAGAAAAACGAGGAAAATCTCATTTGTATGCAATATTTTTCTGCAGATCTAAATAATTTCGTGGTAAATTCGTGTCAAATAACTCCGACCATCCCTGAAACAAAGTCACATTTTAGCTGTGAAAGCTGCAGCGACTTTTAAAATCACCACAAAATCCACAAACACCGCCGGTCAGAAGACATTATTTAACCACAAACAGTGAGACTGAACATCAACTGGAAGGTTTTTCTGGTGGATAGCCGAGGAGGGGATTCCAGAGTCGTTTCATTTCTCCAGTGAATTAACCGGTGCAGGCCCGTACAGCCTGGGGTTTCTTCTTTCTTTTAACAAATAGACAAACTAAAAAAAAAAAAAAGAGGAAGAAAACATGGAAGCAGAAATGTGAAGCGGCAGTAACGCATTTCCAGAGTTGTGTCCGGGCTTTGTTGAATTTTTAAATTAATGAATGAATTGTCATATCTCAGGGAGGATGTGCGGATGGCCTGGACGTTTAAGACGGAGAACATCAGGACCACTGATGCTGTTCTTGGCGAAATGGAAAATGTGGACCGAATGTTTTGTCTTTTTGTTTTTAACTTATTAATTCAAACGAATAGTTGAGGAATGCAGAAAATGACACGTGAGGCCCAGAAAACGACATGCAATCGAAAGTAGTGAGCTCCTGTTTGTTCCATGTTTGTGAGATTTCAGTTTGATCAATGTTCACATGTCAGAAAAGTCATAAACTCTCTTCAGTGTATTTCAGAAAATCCGCAATACCGGCACAATAATAATAATAATAATAATAATAATGATAATGATAATGATAATGATAATGATAATAATAATAATATAGGCTACATACCACAATAATTATCTTACTCAAGTAAATTTACATTATAAATAATACTGTAGGATCTTCACCTTAATATTTTATTTACACATAGAAATGTTTATTTTATATAATACTATAGGGGTTAATCACAATATTAGGGTAAATCTACATCATAAAGTATACTGTAGGCTTTGATAATAATATTTAGACTTAAATTTACAGACACAGTCTAGTTTCATTCTCTACTGGAGAGCAGTTTGCCTCAAGGGCTATTACGATTTCTTTATGTGCTACATAAAAACTAATGACTTGACTTGACTAATATTAATATATTTCCTTTTTATGTCAGTTGTCTTCTTGTATAAACTTTATCTTAATTGTTGGTATGTTGCCTTTTTGGCATCCTGCTTTTAAAC